TTTATTTTATTTTATTTTATTTTATTTTATTTTATTTTATTTTATTTTATTTTATTTTATTTTATTTTATTTTATTTTATTTTATTTTATTTTATCCCTTCTCCTTTCAAGTTATGTCAGGTTGGCCTTTGAAGGCTTGGGATTTTTGTGTATGGGTTTTAGCTGGCCCCCAGCCTTGCCAGGGCAGAGGCTTCAGCTGGATTGCCAGAGGTTTGCCGCATCAAAACGAATAGCCCGTGCACGTGTTTGAGCTTGGCTGTGCGGGAGGGCATGCATGTGAAAGGCACTGTGGTGCTGCATCCAAAGCCCACATCGACATCATTGCAGGCCTCATTACCAGCATTTTGGATAAGTGTAGACCGCTCAAGGTATGCAAGGATGAACAGGCTGATATGATAATTTTGCCATTTAGAAACCCACTTTTGGAGCTCAAAGCTAAGGTTTTTYGAAAATGGTAGATAAATTGGGGCTCCTCAATTCTTCTTGAAGGTCTGCGAGTAGTTGTTGYCTTTGTTAGTTTCAGTGGGATATATACTCAAGTATCTAAATTTGTGTAGAACATGACACATCTTCCCAACTAGATCTGAGGTTACAGAATAAACTTGMAAGGGCTTTGARTTACTGCAGATCTTCGTGAGGGTTYATGCAGTATATAATATTTCTGATCACTTTTTAAAACTATGTGCTAAGACGGTGGCAAACTGTGAGAGGGAGAGTGAAAGGCTTTCCAACTACGTGTGACAGTTATTAGTTGCTTTTTATCTTTCTTAGGACGTTCAGAGGTTACAATGCTGACCTTTGCAACAACAGAATAAGTACGTAGGGGTGTATGAAGCTAGTGTTAGATGCCTGATTTGGAATTTCAGGGCTACATGTACTTCTGTATTTTTAATCAGTGTAGTTAGAGTGAGATCTTATTGAGATGCTGGATTTTGCATCAACCTATGCAGTACCTGATTGAGGCCTGAGGAGTTTGGGAACTGCTGTTTTAACTGAATACACTCAGAGCGGGAGAGATTTTGAGCATTATTCAGTGAAACAGCTAGAGWGCAATTTAAAACCACTGGGCAATGGACAGAAAGCTGTGCTGTGCACTTCCAAATTGTACTGATTTGTTTAATATAGGTCAGAACAGGTAACAAGTTCGAATCTAAAAGCAAAGGTGGGAGCTCTCAGTTTGAATACTGAACACGAAACAAAGGTATTTGTATTTCCCCATGAAAAGACATCTGAGCAGTTCTTTGAGGGCCTGCGTGCTGCTCTGAAGGGGCCGGGTGGAGCGTCGCGGGCCGAGGCTGTGACGCAGTTGTGGAGGGCTGGCGATGAGTAACGTCAGCCTGCGAATYGTCGCAGGGGTGTTTTTTCTGGAGCATCCTTTGATGGACTAGCCCTTTCCCTCCTGCTGCTTATATCCTTTTCTTGCACAATCACGGCCACCTGCTGCTTGCCCCAGGTTGTGCTGCAGGCATTTATGCGGAGACAAGCGTTCCTGTTTTTTTTATAATACCGTGAACTTTAAGAGCTGCGTATACTCCGCTTTGACTGCTTAGCAGTGGGAACACTGCCACATGCTCTAGGAAGGTTACCTCTCAATGCCACTTGGAATTTTTTAGTAGTACAGGATGCCAGCTCTGTGTACTCAGCTGTGTTTCATAACAGGGAATGTCTCAAATTGTGTTCCAAAATATGGCTGGGTTTTGTACGTTTTCATGCTCATGCTTTTCTTTTGCCTTGCACTATCCTTAAAAAGTGCAGTTTGTTCTTGGTTTTATCAAGTGGAGCGCAATGCGGAAGGAGGAGATCTTCCTAGGCTCATAAAAACCCAAGACCGAAGGGAGTAACTTGTCTTGCTGAGGAGGAGGGACTGCAAAGCAGAAACCCACGTGGTCCTTCTGCWCTGTTTTGTGGCTCAGAGGGCTCAGGGGAGTTGAGCGTTTTGTAACGGACAGGGAGGATGGGCTTTTCAAATGCGCCGATTCCTTTTTTTCTCCCCAGTCCTGTGCCAAAACGTGCTCGCAAATAGGGAGCTAGTTGATGGAGTCAGCTGCAAGCTGCAAAAGGCACACATAGGTAGCAGTGAAACTGCCTCTTACCTATTTCTTCMTTTGGTGTTTGTGGAAGCATAAAATCATATATACTTTCTCAAAAGTACAGGCATCTATCAAGAAAGTRTGCAGCATCTTTGCACATTTCTTGTCCTGGCTAGAAAACTCCCCAAATCTTAGGTAGCTATTTACAGCCATCTGGAATCAAATCCAGTTATGCTGACGAAGGCTTTGTAATTTTTGGAATATCTCTAGCTAATCTGCCTGTAAGTTCTTTTTTTTTTTTTTTTTTCTTTAATTAAACTTTATTTTCTCTCTTTTTTCTTCTCCTGTGATGCTTTCAAGCTATAGCTTCATTACACTGAGGCAAGGTCATCTGCGTGTCATGAGAGATAGGACAAAGACTGCTTCAGAATTATGTGAAAATATATTGTTGTCTCTTTGTGTAAAGGGACTATAAAACTCTGCATTGAATTTAAGGGAAGGAGAATAAGAGGTAGCAACAATACGCAGTGGATGTTCTTCCATCACTCAGGAAGCTTAATTTTCTGCTATTTGACTCTRTGTCTTCTCCTAGAGACGTTACTGACCGTCAACAAGTTGCTTCTGAAAGAGTTATATCACCAGGTTCCATTTTAAATACCTGGAGCTCAAATTCCCCTTCTTAAAGTTCACTTTTCAGTGGCCATTAGGATTTAAACATAAAATAGTGACATCTTTGCCATCCACTGAATGACCTCCAGTCCTCAGAATAGAAGATCCAGCAGGACCATCAATAACTGTTTAAGTGACCCTTCCCCAGAGTCCTGCATGATCTCAATGCTGTGTCCTCTTATGGATTGGTATACAAAATTCTGTAGTAGTAATCAGGAGGGTTACGGGATTGGGAAATCAATCTGATTTTACTAGCTGTTTAACACTAGAAGTATATGGAAAACGATGGATTCACAGATTCTAGGATAGCTTTGCAATTGCTTAGTTTTTCTGTGATTGCAGTTGGGTCAGGCTAGTAAAGTTTTGAGCAAATCAAATCAATCAGAAGCTGTGATTGAGCCCACCTAATCTCACTGAATCTCACTGAAAAATGTTACCAGGGATGACTTGGTTAGATGGGAATATAGTGACAGAGGGGGCTGAGGTGACACTAGAAAGAACTGAGTATAAGAGCAGGAATGTCATTGGAGCCTCTG